CGGGGATGCTATGTATGGTAAAATGCTTGGGTGAGGCGCTCTTTCCGCAACTTTTCATACATACCTATTAAATTTAACTACAAAGAACTCGTTAAAAAGCACAAGATAATTTTAAAATATATTTATTAAGAAAACAATATAATTATTTTATTTAATTAATGTAAATACATACACTAATATTTATACAACCACCATCACTCCTGTTTTACATAATGCGTACTTAATGGATGATTAAAAATCCTTCTATTTATAAATACCCTGGATAAGATTTATTAATAAAAGAAAAAACGGTATAGGTTGTTAAAATTGTGCCGTTATATTTCTACCTGTCGTTGGTAAATATGTAATTAATTATACAGAAAGAAGTTGCCATCAACTTGTCACGTTTAGAAGTCAAAGAGTAAAGTATACAATGTCTATTAACTTTTACAATGATCTCTGCTCCTCTTTTCATCCAGAGGGGCGCTCCGTATATTCACATATGATTTTCTCGAAAACTGCTAATCTTAGAAAAAAAAGTTTCAAATAAAAAAGTTGCCTCCATCCATTATTTTTCTTTATTCTGGATATATTGGTATCTATTTCGAAAGATAAAAAAGTTTACCCGCTTGCTATACTTACCCTTGCAAATTCTCACATTCTATCAACATAGCCTTAGAAGAAAATTAAAAACTCTTATTAAAATTTGGCCCTCATATTAACACATTTTGTTAAAAAATATGTAGTCAAAACATAGTAAAAATTTGAGACCAAGTCGTTGTTTCGTTTTTGAATTAGAGCAAGTTACACGAAAAAATAACTGTTTTAATTATTTTATAATCTTTTTTTTACATTTTTGTCTATATCTTGTCTCGACCAACCAAAAAAGTCGTAAATTTCTATTAAGGGACAAGCCTCTGAACACTTCTGTTAAGGTCGCAACATTATACATCCATAAAACTTTTCTCCTTTAATAAGTGTCGCAGACTGACCACTAAAATACTCACTTATTGTCATTTTCTTTACGCATTTTGAAGAAAATTAATGAAAACATCTCTTGGCATCAAATTTTTCAAAAGTTGTAATGTAATAAATTTTTAATATTGTTAATTAGAAAGTTCAAACAAAATTCATACAATGTAATCTAAAAATTTTTTAAATTATTTTTAAATATTTTTACACAAAAATACAAATAGAAAAATCTTATTATTGTAATTGTAAAACCATATTTAAATTTAAAAAATATCACTTGATTTAATTAATAAAAATCAAATTTTGTATTAAAAAATATTTGCAGAATTGTTAATTTGTAAAATTGAGATTAGGCAAGTTTTAAATGTTAAATCAAATGACAAAAATGTCATAAAAATAATAATAATATATAAATAAATATAATATTTTAAACAAATGTCGACTTAGTTTTACGTTCATAATCAAACGATTTGTCAAAATTTACTACTCCAGTCCTGTAAACATCTGAAAGTGAAGGCAAACATGGTGTAGGCAGATTGTTTAAAATAAATTAAAAAAGTCGTAATTACTGCTTATTGAAAAAAGGAAACATTTTCATTTAAGTTGGAACAGGTGTCACTTCGATTAAGACACATTTTAAGAACACATTTGCCCATTATTATATATAAATATCCCATAAACAATAGATCTTTACGGTTCAACTGCTAAAATAATACTGACAGCCATCTGACTGCTAGGCACCAACCAGGCTCCACGATGTCTTCATGCCTTGGGTCCCTTGCGGCAAGTCTATGTGGTCTGTGGTAAATATACAGAATGTCCAATTTAAACAAATAAAGTTAATAACTGTAGCCATTTTGTGTGAGCTTCCATTGTTTTTCTGATATGATTTTCAAAATCTACACAAAAGTAATATTTGTATTTACCATTTTTTTCCTAATAATAAAAATAACATAATTAGGGATGCTGGGAAGTCCAATAAAATCACCCTGTACATTGTGAAACAAGTGTGGAAATTAGCAAAACTGGTAAAGTACTTTTGAGTTATATTAACGTTTTTTTTTTTTTTCAGTGTAATAGAAACGAAATACTAGAAACAAAAATTTTAAATTCAAAATAAATAAACTAAAACTAAAATTAGTAACTAAACTGAGCTTGGATATAACATTTGAAATTCAGAATTTTGTGCAATAGACAAAAACTATTTCAACGCTGAGGATTTTTTTTTATTTATTTTGTCACCTCAACAAAACACAAGACATAAATGTCATATTTTCTCAATTAAGAATTAGAAAGTGCTACATAGTGTAAACTTTCAAGAAACCCTGCAGAAATTTCTAGAAAAATAAATTCGCTCTACAAAACATCAATACTATTTTAACGAATCTAAACCTTAATCACTAGGTTTTTAAACAAATGAATTACATTTTTTATAAGTAGTTAGGCACTCTTAAATCTCATCCGCACAGTAGACATCAGTGACGGCTGGTGGATTTAGGTTATACAATATCTCATTATTGGAGCATGGAATCCAAGCAATATTTTAAGGCCTGACTATTAGTACTGATTGAAGAAGTTTTGCAGAAAAAATAATGAAAAAAATTCGAAAAAAAAGTTACAAAATGCACAGCCTCCCCAAATTCCTTCTAGACCATTAGTAAAATCTTTGCAAACTATTTTTTTTTTTTTTCGTAATCAGAAGGAAAATTTATCACCCCATTTTTTTTGATATTTGAAAATTTAAATTTTTTGTTATGACATTTTGAAATTTACATAATGAAAAACTTAAACTTCAATGTGTCATAACTTTACAAAAAACCAAAATTTTCCAAAACAAAAAAAAACGGTGATAAATTTTCCTTCTGATTATTAAAAAAAATAGTTTGCAAAGATTTTACTAATGGTCTAGAAGGAATCTGGGAGGCTGCACATTTTTGTAGCTTTTTCCTCAATTTTTTTTTTTATTTTTTTTCTGCAAAACTTCTTCAGTCAGTACTGATAGTCGTGCCTTAAAATATTGCTTGGGTTCAATGCTCCAATATTGAAATGTATAAGCTAAATCCACCAATCGCCACTGGTAGACATCCACTATGATTGATCTAGGAAAGAACACAAGAAATCATGTAGAGAGTGTCCCGAAATTAGCATTTAATAATTCGCCAGCGAATTATACGGCCAAAAATGAAAAAAAGTTACCATTAAAAATGCGCCCTAAGAAAGCTACAGCTCCCCTAAAGAGATAGCCCCGACAATGGTTTTCTATTAATATCTCCAAAACGGTTGAAAGAAGAATTATAAACTTTATGAATTTAGGCTGAAGACGAAGTTCGAACAAAAGTTGACGATTGCACATTAGAGTCCAAAGCATTGAGAGGAGCAGACAACAAACTAGCAGACCTCAGTATCGCTAAATCTGCTGTGTATACTGCTAGTCATGTTCCTAGTGGTCTGACTCGATCTGTATATATTTCTGCAGTTGAGGTCTCCCGCTTGCTAACTAAGTGACTTCATCGACTGCACGTGGACATACCATTTTCCTTATACGATGATTATTATATTGCAAGAATGAACCATATTAATTTAGAAAAATAAAAATGTTTTCAAAACAAAATACTTTTTCTATAATATGAAATATGCCACATAACAAATTAGCAAGTAGCAATTCGACTGATTTATCTGAATATCTGTTCCAGTCGCCACCTCACCCGGCACACTGGACTGGAATGGAATACTTTAGTCGATCCTTGGTCTCGATCAATAACTATCGTTGAGATTAGTTAGTTAACCCAAACACAAAGTGAGACTGCTAGAATAGGTATAGGTACAATAGGTATAGTAATGAATGAATATAAGTACTTGGCAAATCCCGTTACATTGTAACGAGTAGTTACTTTTTTACATCACTAATTAAAACATTTAATCATATGCATCCTAAACAGGGGGAGTTCACTGGTACAATGTGCTCCAATTTTTGTATATACTTTTTTTTTAAATTTTGAAATCAAATTTTAAAATTTCAAGATTTTTACAAGAAAAAAGATATTCTTGTTTTACATCGATAAAATGCTTTGTTTTCGAACAGTCGATTAAAACATTTTATTACCTGCCTAAAAGTGTATGTAGAAATATTGCAAGATAATGTAATTTAATTAGTAGCAGGTGATGGAAACAAAAGTTTTTGTTTACATTAATTAATTTGACAGTTTGCTTAAGTAAAATTAAACAGTGCTTTATAAGTTTGTTTGTTATCTGTAATATAACAGTTAATTTCAAATGTATTTGCAACATAAAAAAGGTCGGCTTCTTTGATCCCAAATAGGTTTGAAATAAACTGTACATACATCTATTCCGGCTTCTTGCCACAACACTGATTGCCGAACTGGTGCATATATTACAGGTATATAAATAAACGCATATGTATCAATTAATTCAATTATATGAATGAGGACTTTAAAAAATTATATAAGTGCCTGTTTTGAAAAATGGGTAAAGTAGCATATATTTTCGCTCCCTCGTTATCATTAAACCTAATTCAAATAATAAAATTCAACATTTTACTAATAAAGAGTTAGCAGATACAAACTGGACACAAACTGTGCGAAGAGTATTTTCTTTCTTTAATAGAAAATGGATCTTTTCGAGGGCTGTGTGGGTAAGGAAGACCCCAACAACAGTATAATTTGGAAAATGTATTAAATTATTTCAAAAATAACACTCAGATCAGCATACGAACATTGTCAAGAATTACTAACATACCAAGATCCTCATTTGTAAAAATTAGCGATGCTAAATTTACTTTGAGTTCTAGCTATAGAAAATGAAACGTTTTGCTTCCCTTAATGTATTTATTTTTTTTGTTTTATGTGTTATTGAAGTTTATTATTATTTGGTACTTATTATGTAAACACCACAGGTAATACAACCCCCTGTATCCCTGAAGGTACTTACAGGTACCTTGTGCGGGAGAGGGCTACACATTTAGAGACAATGGACACACGCCCAATGTTCGAAGTATGCTAGGATTAATTTCTGGTTTAGAAAAAAATCCTAGCTCCTTGACCGGGGATCGAACACGGGACTCTAGGGGTGAGAGGCGAGTGTCCTTACCACTCGGCCACAAAGTCACATACATATGAATATTTTGTAAGATCATGATTAATAGCCTAATACATAATGTATCATAGTTTTTACATTTTTTCTTTTTAAATCATAAATTATTTGGTATAAAAATGAAATAAATTGTAATGATAAAAATAAAATTCTTACATTTTCATTGTTCACTGTTTACTGCGCAAATTCTATTCTTATCTTTTTGTATGCTGATCATCGAAAAATACATTTTCTCTTAAAATTCATGTAAATAAACTTTTATTTCCATGACTTACAGTTTAGTTTTCATTTAATATTTGTATATAGTAATTTAGAATTTATAGTAAGTTCAAATTTAGCGCGCTAATTGGCGCATCTGGTTAGGTGGTAGCGCGGCCAAAAAAAAAACCTTTAGTTACTTTTTAAGTTGCTTTTAGTTACTGTCAAGTCAGTATTGAATGGGAATTAAAGTGAAATATAAATCACGTATTCAAACTCACTAGACACATTTTTGTGTCCTTTCACTTTTTCATTGTATTTTGGCTGCTTTATCGTTGTTTTAATTCATATCCACTTGTCGTGTTTCTAACCATATTTGTGTGTGTAAACTCGGGGTTACCAATTGTCCTCCCTATCCTATACAAATTGATCTTATAAGCCATTACTCCTACAAGTGGCTTTTACCATCTACAAAACCACGTGCTCGGCGCCGACAAGAAGAACTGGAAAGAAGCATAGATTACGCAAGGAAATACACAGGTAAGCCACATATCTATACTTTTCCATACACTCCGCATTCATAATCCACATTACGTAAGTTAGCAATATTTCGCCTGTACACTTTTAGGCATGTAACACAATGTTTAAATCGATTGCCTTTAAATGGAGCATTTTATCGAGGTCGATATATATTATTTTTTTGTAATAAAAATCTTGAAATTTTAAAATTTTATATCAAAATTAAAAAAAAATATATATATACTAAAAAGTTGGGGCACACTGTACTATTGACAACAAGTTTAGGACTCCTATTGTTTTCGGACGCTGATGTCCATACACGTCGAAACAAAAATTGTTAATATAACAACAACTTACATAACAAATTATATACAAAAAAGTTGGGGCACACTGTACTATTGACCACAAGTTTAGGACTCCTATTGTTTTCGGACGCTGAGGTCCATACACGTCGAAACAAAAATTGTTAATATAACAACAACTTTCATACACATCCAAAGTTTACATATTTCTATAGGGGCATTGATATGCTATGCTAGTATGATTAATGGGTCCCACGAGAGTATTCAGTATAAATTTTGGGAGGGTATGGCTTTGTGATGGGTCTATTTATTTTCAAAAGAGACCACCTCACCCGTGGTGACACTCACACTTGGTAATATGTCTCATTAGAATATATCTTATAACATAAATGGCTTATTTACATTTACATTGAAATGCGTCACATTATTAGAAAATTATAATAACATCAATATACATTCTAGTGTCCCTGTAGAGTGCTACCCGAATTCCGACAGGACGACACGTCGTTGATTTTATTACCTCAGAAAAAAATTTAAAAAAATTGACAAATACCGGTTCAATTCCCATATTTTTATCATGAAAAACCTGAAAGGTATCGTATAATTCTGAGCACCACAAATACATGTATGCGAACGTATTAAACATTTTTTACATAATTAGATATTAAATTTAATAAATATCCAATTTACCAAAGTTTATAATTCTACCTTCACCGGTTTTGGAGATATTTAGAAAAACCATCGTCGGGCCTAAATTGGGGGGTAGGGGAGTCGAAGCTACACACATAAAAAATTGATAAAACAAAAAAAAAGCTTTAGTTAGTATTCAATATTTTTTTCTCCTATTCTTTTGTTTCTTTATAATATTTATTCACCAATATGAGGATACAGAAATGTACATTTGGCAAGTCAACATAAACATAGAGTAACAGAAAAAATATGTAATATACATCACATAAATATAAACAAATGTCAAAATATAACATAACGTCAAAAGAATACATAATATATACAGTGTTCCACCTAAGAGGGATTCTTCTGTAACTATGTAACTGTAAAATTTATAAAAAAAATGATTTTAATAAAAGTTGTCTGGAATTATGTGGGCTATGTAAAGAAAATATTTTTAGCTTTACAAGGTGTTCCATTTCGCGTGGGCGCTACATAACTTTGTTATTTTAAATGGAACACCTTGTATATTATTGCATTTTTGAATTCCTTGGTTAATATTAGGTAGAGTTTATTAAATGTACATGGTGTTTAAATCTTACCGTTTTCGAGATATTCAGTTGTTTTTGAAAAAAATCACGAATTCAGCCCTCTACATGAGGCTAGAGTAAGAGTTAGAAACGTGCAGTTTTCACAGTTCGTTTTGGCACAAATTACTCTATCTTGTCATCTGTGAGCAAAACATGTATGTTATTCAGACTCGGAAATACTGAGACCTACATTTAATAATGTTACGAGTTGAAAAACTTTTTTTTTCAAATAGAATGACCCATATTAATTGTCATGGGTGAATTCAAAATTGAACGCCCTTTCGGCTGATATAAGGTTGTCCATACTTATCTAACAGTTTTCCAGAAAAATCAGGTTCTTTTCTAAAGTCCGAAAAAGTTACATAGTTACATACATAGTTTCAAAAACAACTGAATATCTCGAAAACGGTAAGATTTAAATACCATGTACATTTAATAAACTCTACCTAATATTAACCAAGGAATTCAAAAATGCAATAATATACAAGGTGTTCCATTTAAAATAACAAAGTTATGTAGCGCCCACGCGAAATGGAACACCTTGTAAAGCTAAAAATATTTTCTTTACATAGCCCACATAATTCCAGACAACTTTTATTAAAATCATTTTTTTATAAATTTTACAGTTACATAGTTACAGAAGAATCCCTCTTAGGTGGAACACCCTGTATATATTATGTATTCTTTTGACGTTATGTTATATTTTGACATTTGTTTATATTTATGTGATGTATATTACATATTTTTTCTGTTACTCTATGTTTATGTTGACTTGCCAAATGTACATTTCTGTATCCTCATATTGGTGAATAAATATTATAAAGAAACAAAAGAATAGGAGAAAAAAATATTGAATACTAACTAAAGCTTTTTTTTTTTGTATTATCAATTTTTTATGTGTGTAGCTTCGACTCCCCTACCCCCAATTTAGGCCCGACGATGGTTTTTCTAAATATCTCCAAAACCGGTGAAGGTAGAATTATAAACTTTGGTAAATTGGATATTTATTAAATTTAATATCTAATTATGTAAAAAATGTTTATGACCCATATTAATTGTCATGGGTGAATTCAAAATTGAACGCCCTTTCGGCTGATATAAGGTTGTCCATACTTATCTCTAACAGTTTTCCAGAAAAATCAGGTTCTTTTCTAAAGTCCGAAAAAGTAACTATGTAACAGTGTCAAGAAGGCCTTGCAAAACAACTTTTCCCTCACATTTTATCAGGCTTGGGACTGACAGTATCAATATTTACTGGCATGTTTAAAAAGAGGTTTGACAAATAAAAGTAAACCACTAACAACAACTAAAACAAAACTCAAAACGAAACCAACTGAAACTCGGAACACAACAAGGAGAAGAATACTTAGACCGCTGATTTACATCAATTGCTAAAGTGTCCTCCATTTTGATTAATACACAAACGAATTCGGTTTTTAAAAGACTGTTCAACATTGGTCTGCATGTGTGGCGTAATTTCTTGAAATACTACTGTAATGCGCTGCCGCATATCTTCCGCGGTAGTTGGTAGTTTAACGTAAACTTTACTTTTTATAAATCCCCATAAAAAGAAGTCACAACTTGTCATATCTGGACACCTTGAAGGACTCACTGGTCCCCCACGCCCAATCCATCTATTGGGAAAAGTTTCGTGTAAACACTGACGAACCGCAGCGGCATTGTTTATCCAATTTATTTGCGTTTGTATGTTTTATACGTTTATAGGGGCAACTAATATTTACACACCACAGTAAAGACTCAATAAAGCAGTTAAAACCTATATCTATTTCTAAATAAGAAATATTTTCCCAACTTATGGTTTTTAGATGGAATCTGAGTTCACTTAGGTTGTTCTCATTTATCATTCTTCTATATGATGGTATATCATTAATTTCATTTTCACTATTAGTAACTGAGTATGCATATGATAATATAAGAGCATAATGATCACTAAGCGCTGGGTTTATAACAATAACATTATAAGTTTGTGGGAGTAGATTTGTAACTATGTAATCAATACATGTTGAACTAATATGTCCTCTTCTATCTTTAAATACTCTGGTTGGTTCGTTAACAGTTGTGATGAGATTAAAAGCGTCAAATAAGTCACATAATAGTTTTTTATCAGCAGAATCTGAAAGGAAATCAATATTGAAATCTCCACAAAGAACAATATGAGAACATTTTCCATATGCTAGTTTTAGAGCCTCATTTAGATTTTTTAAGAATAAATTAAAATTACCATTTGTGGGTCTATATATATTAATTATAATAATTTTTTCATTAGAAATAATAATAAAGATGGCACACATTTCTATATGACATTCAGCAGAAAGATCATTGATTTTTGTAATATCATATGAACAGAGATTGTCTTTTACCAATATTAAAGATCCACCATGTATATGATTTATACAAGAGAAATTACTTCTTAAAACGTAATTAGGTAAGATTATATTTCTAGTATTTTCGCCCACTAGCCAGTGTTCTGTGATACACAGGATATCTAAATTATTTTCTGCTAGAAAAATAGCAATTTCATTTAACTTATTTGTCATGGATTGTATATTTATATGTAATATTTTGAGAGTTTTATCATTTATATCTGTAAAACTAGAGATTGGTCGGGGTCTAAAAAAATGTGATGTCTCGCTATACACAATCAGAAATATTAAGGATTACATCAGGCATCGAGTCATTTGTATTCTGCATAATACTCGACTCCAAGTTAGTCTG